TTTATGCTCTTAAAATACATTTCAGGCTTGGAAGAGGCCAAAAGTGGCCTTTGTGAAAGTCAACATAGTTTCAAAGATTTTCTTCAAAAAACTGGCTCAGGGCAGTTGATTTCACTGTTTCATGATGTTTTCATTACAACCTGCTTACCCACCTTTACTGGTTTACGGTACATTCTCAGCCTTTTATGCTCTTAAAATACGTTTCAGGCTTGGAAGAGGCCAAAAGTGGATTTTGTGAAAGTAAACAGTTTCAAAGATTTTCTTCAAAAAGGTGGCTCAGGAAGTTGGTTTCACTGTTTCCAATAGAAACTGTTGCTAACACACCTTTACTGGTTTAAGGTACATTGTCAGCCTTTTATGATCTGTTACCACTCTGACGGCCCCCCCGCGGCCGTTGGAGTGTTTAGTGTACATCTGTCATGTACACAATTGCTATGTAAAAGGTAGGTACTAATGCGATATCTCTTTAGAAAGCTATGATTCTGGTAATTCGATTTGAGCAAACCATTTCAATATACAATCACAACAGCAGGTACAGTCAACATCTGTCAGACCACCAACCCAAAAACAAGCCGTTAAAATATCGACGCAACTCACCAATTATGCTTCATAGTATTTCCCCCATCCATAAAAGTCCGGGAAAAGCGGTCTTGTTAGATTGCTAAGGGTCAAGACGATCCAATCCAGTAAAATATTTAGTCCAAAACATTATTACGTCAATAAATACCCACGGATCATTTCAAATTAGCCGGCAGATATGGCTAACTTTCTATGTATTTTTCGACGTAAATTCCATTCACGGTGTCTGTATCTCAAAATGGCGGCTGCATGCTGACGTTTCGATTGACACCTAATTTGACCTATGAGAAGCTTCCATTTCCTGTCAACAGCCTGGAATAGCCAACGAGAGTCCGCTTTGAAAGACAATGCCTGCCCCTCTTGTTTTGGGTAAAGCTTGAGCCAATTGCAACCGATCGTTCTGATGACTCACGCTTCGTATAGCCAATGAAATTACGAATGAAATTCCACTGTGGAAAAAATAAAGATCCTGTTATCTCGAAATTTCGACTTACTATCTCATAATAATGAGATAATATCTGATAATTTGTACTAACTGACTGAGGCGTAGCAGATCAGAGAAGCCATGGTGGAGTAAATGCCTCCTCTCACAAGGCTTTTACTTGAAAAAGGTTGTAGGCAAGGCAAGTTTATTTGTATAGCACATTTCAACAACAAGGTGCTTCACATAAAACCATTAAAAACATCAAAACATAAGCCAAAAGTAAAGGAGATTTAAAAACAATTAAGAACATTCTTTAAAACAATAGAAAACAGTGTAAGAAATAAAATACAGTGGTATAGTAAAATGCAGAAATTGATCAATATCCTTGAATCTGGTTCAATTAAAGGCAGCAGCAAACAGAAAAGTCTTCAGTCTTGATTTAAAAGGAGCCGAGGGTCTCAGCAGACCTGCAGCTTTCTGGGACTTTGTTCCAGATATGTGGGCAGAAAAACTGAACGCTGCTTCTCCATGTTTAGTTCTGACTCTGGGAACAGAAAGTAGACCGGTCCCAGACGACCTAAGGGGCCGGGATGGTTCATAAGGTAGCAGCAGATCAGAGATGTATTTTGGCCCTAAACCATTCAGTGCTTTATAAACCAACAGCAGGATTTTAAAGTCAATTCTTTGTTGGACAGGAAGCCAGTGCAAAGACCTCAGAACTGGAGAATTGTATTGTAGTTACAGTGACGAACATAGTTGTCATTAACTCAAATCTTATATTTACTTCACTCGGTTCACTGTCTCTCCACCATGGCTTCTCTGATCTGCTACGCCTCAGTCACTTAGTCAAAATTATGAGATATTATCTCATTATTATGAGATAGTAAGTCGAAATTTCGAGATAACAGGATCTTTATTTTTTTCCTCACAGTGGCAGAAATGGGCTTCCATAGCATGCTGACTACAAAAGAAAACCTTGATTCTGAGTGTGCTGTTGCACACCAATGTCCCACAAGGCAATGCAACAAGCAAACAAAAAGGCAACAGCTGGAAAACAATGAGTAACATGTTCAGACTTGTTGCTCACCTATTTTGAAACCCAACTACATCACACTCTCGACCCTTAATGGCAACTTCCTTGTGCACATGGTGTGAAAAGTGCCTGAGGTGACACATTGTCACTGTGCTACAAAAGAAGCACATGCATCCTGTTCCTCTTGAGTGTGTAATTTCCTGTTCCATTTTGACGGCTGCAAAGTGTATTTCACAAGACACAGATACTGAGCCTTCGCCTCAGGCGTTGTATTCTTTGAAGCATGAGTGCGGTGAGGATGTTTCTGTGGGCCTGGATGATCCTGGACTCGGCCGAGTGTTCAGCCTCACTACCAGAAATCACAGATGGGAAGTTTATTGATGAATGTGTGAGGGGACACAACGACGCGCGGTCGTCCGTCAGTCCACCTGCAAACGACATGCTGTACATGGTAGGCACGATGGCCATTTTGATTTCTCATTATCTTTTTCACTATCATAAACAAATAAACCTGGTAAAGCCCCCTCTCCAACACCGCAACGGGCAGCCAAAATAATGTGAACATCTAATGGGTAAGGATTGAATACTCTGAAGGAATATTAATGCAATGGTCAAATTAGAAAAACGCCTCTCAGTAAGATGTCTGCTGTCAACCCTCAGTTGGTTTTAGAATGGTACAGTAGTGGCTTGAGATCCCTGGACCATCTAGGAAATAAACACTAACGTATACTTTGAGAGGAAAAGGAAATCACAAATCTTTTGTGCAAGATTCAAATTCAGTGCACAATGAAACATGAATTTGCAACATTGACTCATTGCAAGCAACTTGAAAATGTAGCGGCCATGAAGAGCCAGAAACTCTAAAATAGAGGAAGCTATCTTAGCTTATTGGCTGATTGGCAACATTAAGTTCAACCCTCTGTTGAATACAAAATGGCTTCACAAAAGACGCAGGGTTTTTAAACAATTATGGGAGATGAGTCAATGGTGCACGTCTTTTAAATTAACTTTATTATCCGGTTAGCGACTGAGCTATTGTCCACAACTTTGTATTTCTCTCTATTCCATTCATTTTTGGGAGAACCAACCCTTTTAAAAGTGTCAATTAAAAAAGGTGGTTCATACCAAAGAACTGCTTCATATTCTCTACTTCTGTTCACTCAGACATGGGACGAGGGCTTGGCCATTACTGCAAGAGCGTGGGCAAGTCACTGTGTATTTGAACACAACACCTACCTCAAAGACGTCCGCCGAATGCACCCTACCTTCACCTCTGTAGGAGAAAACTTATGGGCAGCACACCCACCATCATCTTTTGATGTGTTGAAGGCCATAAAACGTTGGGTGGATGAAAAACATGACTACAACTACAACAGCAACAACTGCACAAACATCTGTGGCCACTACACACAGGTGCGTGCTTACTTCTTTGGAAAGTTAGAGAGTTGCTTGTGGGTTTTTTTGTGTGGTGAAATGTTTATATATTATTAAAAAGAAAAGAAGGAACTGCTCATTTTGTCATAACCGGTCTACATTGCATAATCTAACCCTTTCCTCGTCTCCAGGTTGTGTGGGGAAGCAGCTACAAGGTTGGTTGTGCCGCCCAGCTCTGCCCGAATGGTGTGACAAGCTTCACTTCTAGAGAGGGTGTCATTTTTGTCTGCAACTATGCTACAGCGTGAGTTGAAGATGTCCAACAATACAGACTTCAGAGTTGATCACTTAGAAAACTGTTAACATTGTACATTTAAAGGGGTGCACTAACAAGGCTCAAGGGCTCCGAAAACGTTGGATGATTACGAAAACCGTCAGCCTTTGTCAACATTTTAAAATTTGCATTTTTCTCCGGTGATGTCAAATGTCCTCTACACGCCCTTTGTGATTACATTTGTCTTCTGGTGATTCAGGCTGAAGTTCAGGCCTGGTTTCATGTGAAAAAAGGGTGGTACTCACCACAACCACATATAAAGTAAACATGTAAGAGATACAGATATAATAAAATACAGTGGTATAACAATACATGCCACATGTCATCATTCAGTGTGGCTTTGTAGCACCAAGGCAGTTGTGCCAAAGCACACTGTATATAATCCATCGGGCTTAATAATATTCTTCCAGGTTATTTTTTGCGCTTCTCCTCACACAGCATTGCAAACACCTGCGCAAAAAAATACATCAAAACGTGCGGCCTGATTGGGAATCGTGTGCAATGTATTTTCTAGAGCGATTCGCCCAGCTGTTTTACCGAAATTCGGAGCAAAATGTCTCCATTCACTTGAATGGGGTTTCGGTGTGAAGAGAGCTAAAAAAAAAAAAAAACACTAAGTTGGGCCCACATTGACTAGCCATACTTTAACGTAGAACAATGATTTTAAGTTTAATACGTAGACAAAACGCTGTACTTTATTGAGCCAAATGGGCATTTTGATAGCTAGGACAGTTTTAATTAAGTCAACGTTTAAGTTTCAGGAAAATTTTGGGTCCGTTTCAGATTTTGTAATAGGTGTGTATTGCAGGTAATGTTCAGCGCTAGATTGAGGGCATAACTGTCAGAGTGGAGCAGAGCATGAAAAGTATTGTGATTTTTACGAACAAATTGCGCCGAGTCCTACAATTTTTACTCTTTATACACCATTTTTGGCCAAAAAGCTTGGAAATGTGCTGTCGCACACAGATGTCTATGGAATCCAACAGACTTACACATTTGGCTCAAAGAGGGACATGAACTCCAACCAACTGCTCCATTCGACTCCATGTTAAATCTGACCACTAATTTCTCAAAGAAAGCAGACGGTACCAATTTTGTATATTGCCCTGGAGCTCACACTTTTAACACCACAAAAATTAAAAACTACATCAACGCGTTCGGCAGTCTTATCTTTATCATGATACCCATATCTTGGCACTCAGACTTTTTGTTAAAAGGAGGCAGGAGTTTTGTTCAAAATCAGTATGCCTCTCCAACCAGTTTTTTACACACACACACACACACACACACACACACACACACACACACACACACACACACACACACCTCTGTATATGCGTGTCAAACATGATTCTGTCTCATCTCCCCCACCCAGCCCACCATTTCAAAATAAAAGCCCCACAGAATGAATTCTAACTGGAATGCTTGTGATGAAGCCTGGCATTTAATAATCTCTGTATATGTGTGTCAAACATTACGATTATGTCTCCCTTCCCCCTCTCACCCACCCAGTCCCACCCTTTCAAAATAGAAGCCCCACAGAGTAACTATCTTAACATTATGCTCAGAATGAGGTTCATGTTTGGAAATGTTAAGTTCATGTCTTTCCATCACAAATGTAGAAATGTAATTTTCAAATGTATCTCAAACAAAGATGTATATCTCCAATACAGAAATAACGGGAGCCATGTCCATCACGAATACAAGATTCAATCCAAGAGTATGAATCTAAAATGCAGAAAAGAGAGAAACGATATCTCAATTGAAACTCAACGGCAATATTGGCGTGTATATATATTGCTACGTCTTCGGCCAGTAGCAGCCACTCAATTTCTTGCGGAATTTTATAGTCAACTGATATTGCTTAAAAATTACGCTCTGAGGGAACAATATCTCATTTGTTAAACCCTTGACTCCTGACTCCTCTCTCCTCGCATGTCTTCCTCACCTCCTCTGCTAGCATCTCCAGAGTGTGGGACTAAAGCGCGAGGAGAGGACACATCTCAAAGCATAACAATGTGACGGATACAGGCGACCCTCAATTTCAGAAAAAAACAATTAGATGAGAGGGCGGAAGTTCAGAGCAAAGATCAACCCAGAATGAACAAAGATTTGCTACATACAATATAGGAAAGCGATTTAAATTGGGTGATATTTCCTTGTGCAGGGGTAATGTGAACCGAAGGCGGCCATATAAACAAGGAGGGGCAGGCTGCTCTGGATGTGAAGGCACCTGTGAGAAGAATCTCTGCCGTAAGTATTTTGTCCTTCATATCCTGGTTTTGATTTTCGTTCTCACAAATCACGAATATTTGTGGCTACCTTTGCATATTTTCACCCAAACCACATTTTATTTATTTGGCTTTTTTTGTGACCTCTAGATTGTTACAATTGAATCATTTCGAAAACAGCTGACAACAAATTTAAGGAAGCCGAGACAAAGAACACAAGTGCTTTTCCATGTTATCAGCATTCCTACTGGCACAAACACACAATGCATTTTTGTGTGTATTTTAACCGTTTGTCATCTTGCCTTTGCAGGTGGCCAAGAAAGAGATCCACAGAAAAGTAAGTATGGTACATAAGCTAAAAAAGACAGTTTGTTCCGACTGGGTTGTAAAATACACACCCACACTTTGCTTAAAGGGTAATTGTTTTAAACATGGTACTAGTGAATAAGTGAATTCCACAAAGCTGTGCAAGGTACGAATACTGAAACCACTTCATTGGTGTTTCCAGGTTACAACTGGACTCCAGACTGGGACCCTGCCCCCGGTACCAGTGGCTTCAATTATGTGACTATTCTGGTTGCCCGACCCATTGCCCTCATTGTCACCTTCATCGCAGCGTATGCAGTCCGCCACTTTTATCCCGAGGTCTTCTGCTATGAATAGACCACCTGAGGTGACCTGAAAGACGCGGACTTGTTCAGCCAGTGCCAAGTCCTATCAGAGCTGTACATAAACAGAGAATAAGTGCATGCGTTTTATCCACCAGCTTCTTTGTAGTGAGCTAGCTAGCCCCAGATTTAAGCCATCCGACAGGACACAAGCAACCCAATAAACCTCAAGTTCGGGAGGGAAAACTAAAGTGAACGTGCCCAAACTGTCCACTGTGCTCGCTCATTTTACTGTAGTAGTGTGCAGCCACAGTTACGTTAGGTTTAAGCTGCACTAATTAATATGTTCATATAAGCAACAATGTCAAATTACTGGCACATTTCTACATAGCATTTAACATTCCGTTCACTCTGGCTGCTCTCATCAACCCTGGTTACAGACGGCAACTGCACACTAGCAGCACCGCAGACAGATCGAGTTAGCAAATAGCACATTGTTGAGCAGCTAGAGAGCCAGATATGTCCATCAGGAGTTGGTGGAGGATGCAGAAAAAGTATAAATAAATTGCCAAAAGAAGAGTGCAAGTTGGACAAACAATATGAGCAACTAAGCAGCTCTTAGCAAATTTTTTTGTTTATGAGGCAATAATGTCAGTGTTTACAGAATGATAAACTGAGACAAAAAGAAACGATGAATAATTCATTAGTAGGAAAAAAAAAAAAAAAGTACAGCTCTGCAATGGACCCAATTTCAAATCCTGTGATCTGACCACCCATGAATGTGGACTCTCCTACAATCCTGTCCCCCAAATAGTACTTCTACCATAAGTTTGTTTGTCATGATCAAAAGGAATCAAATTAAAACTTAAAGTCCAGGATGTTAAAAATATGCCTTTAATTTTATTCAATTTCCATCTGATGGAGTCGGCCTCATCCTGAACACACATCAGCCATGAGGAAGGACGACAACATACTTTGAAAATCTATAACTACTGATCATTCAAACTCTGGACAATAGTTAGAAAACAAATGAGGCAGAAAAGAAGACAATGTATGACATCACTCACTGGTGTACTACTGGTCTCCAGATATGAGGATTTCCTGTTCATATTGCTTAGTATAATCCTCTAGCACACACTGTGTGTCCGATGTCCCACCTACCTGTGTCCTGACAAGAGTCCTTAATCTGTCCAACAGGACTGCCAAACCAATACCATATCACATGGTACACAACACAATTACCAGGGTGCAAGTCTGTGGTTAGCCTTTGTTTTGCTCTTTTTCTTTTTGCCCACGGTGCTGCCGGTGGGGGGGGGCAGGGTTCACTGGAGGAGCCCCCAGCTTCTTGGTTTTGGCTTTTTTCACTTTCTCCTTAATGGCTTCGATGTCCAACTTGCTTTCTGTAGGAGCCGTGACAGAAACAATGGGGGGGGGGGGGTTTAGCTGGACTAATGCGGTGCACAGGTTCACACATTTGTTCTCAGATGGAGATTTGCTCCCTTATTTCTACCTTTGATGGTCTTCTTCATTAGAGGCTTCTCTTTAGGCGGAATGAAAGCTTTGTTCCGCTCTTCCTGCTTCTTGGTCAGTGCTTCGGCTTGTTTCACCTGAAAAAGAGGAACAGTGAGTCACACCATAGGCAGTTCTTTAAAATACGATGTCATTTTTCCTAACATGTTTTGGCAAACATTTACAGAGACTCTGCACTCATTTGATCACGCCAACTAATCAAGCTAATTTTAAAAAAGGCTTCCGTTTTTCGTTTTCTCAACAGAAGGAAAAAAAGGCCTAAACCCCAGCTGGATACCATTATTGTAATATCAGGCATGTGAACCTGCAGCCCTGCAGGAAATGAATCCACTCAGTGCTCACCTTGATCTCCTCCATCTTCTTCCTCTTTTTCACACTTTCACGGAGGAAGAATTCTCCCGTGGCCAGCTCCTTGTCGACCTAAAAGATGATCCACAAAAATCAAAGTTAGAATCAATCCCAATCTAAATTAGTCTCAATAACATGGTTTAAACGAAGGACCCCGTTTTGTCGGCAGTTTATATTAAGGTCAATCTTTTTTATCATCTTTAAAATAACTATTGTTAGCATAGCTTTTTTTATAATAGAAAACAATGTTGTATGAGAGCATGCGATTCTCATGCGGTTCTCTTTAGCTCTTGAAGCTAGTAAGCTAACATTACTGTGTTCTCCATGTACGAGACAGAGGCAGTTATCACCAACTATGAATGTTAGAATAAAGCTGTTTAAATAAAGCAAGCTTCTGACCGTGCTCTCCGGCTGTGACGGAGGGAATGGTGTGTACTCCTTCTTCGCGCTCTTCTTCTTGGGCTCCCTGCGCTTGGCCAGGTTCCTGTGGCGGAACTTGGGCAGGAAGCGCTCCCAGCTCTGCATCCGCAGGTCGGGGTCTTTGAACAGCTCCTGTTTGATCATCAGTGTCTGATGGATCCGGCCGTCAGAAAATTTGGTGGTGGTAGGAGTAAAAGTAACAAAAATGTGATACTCTGTCACGCCACAGGCCCTGCCTGCTCTCAAAAGTAGATTTATTAACACTGTATGTATATATTAATAGTTATTTAGCTAGTCTTGTAAGTTGAAGGCAGTTGTAGGCCTTTATGGTGGAAGAACCACAGGAAATGGGGACAATGTTTATTAAGTTTATGAAAACTTCACTTATTAAAAAAAAGATTTAAATGTTTTTCAGCTGCTCTTGCCAGGAAGACTGTTACAAACGTTTCATGGATGCAATGAGTTATTTGTACATCTCTGACAAGTCAAGATGGAGGAGCATAGGTTTTGTTTCTGGCCTCTGAGTAAAAAGCAGCTCCCCACACGGGAGTGGTTAGAAGTGGGCCAGAAGTGGTTGGGCAACCTCGAGCTTGTTCTATCATCTGATGAAGATGAGCAGCGCCTCGGTTCAGAGCAGTCTGCCGTTTGTTCAGCATCTGTCCCCAGGACTACTCTGACACGGCTGCTCCAGTGTTGTTACAATTACAGAAGTTTAAAACAATGAAACCTTGTGCCTCATACGAATGGGTCTACTATGAGCACAATGAGTGCTGCGGACCATCTGTGGCTCTATCATGCCCTCAGCTCCAGGTTGAGCCAGCCTTGGCGTTCAAACCCCAGAGGGATTAATTTCAGTCAGGAGATCAAGAACAAGGATGGAAAATATCTTCATTGGGCATGATTGCTTCCGTCCAAACATTTCAATCCATCCAGTAAAGCTGCCGGGTTTCTGTCAGCGGCTTGAACGTACCTTAATGTTGTAGATGGGATGAATGTTCTTCATCGTGTCCATCACCACTTTGCGTACCTAAAAGACAGACATGACAAACATAATGCTTCTACATCCTCTGTGGGATATGTAATTTCAAATGACATATGAGATCATATGCCTGAGAAATGAATTATTGAAACACAACTCAGTATTTCACCATTCACTGTCATGACTGAATGTGGATATCAGTTTAGACATTTATATTTCAAAATTATCTTTTTTTTTTTTCATGACAGCAGCGATATTGACAGTCACCGCCCACTAATTTACAGCTAATCTCGTAACCCCAACCTCCCCCTCCCCCAGCAAGATAACAACTACCATCAAATTTAGCGAGTTAGCTCCTGCTAGCTAGAACACCAACAGTAAATATTCATGCTCTTGCTATCGGGAGCTAACTCGCCAAGTCCGATAGCAGATGTTTAGCTTGCTTGCTCGCTCAAGAGACAGGGGAGGGGGCATGTGATTGGCTGAAAGGACAGTGATGACACCACTGTAATAAAATGTGAAATAATGTGAAAAAAAGATGGAAAATGCCATTATGAAATAAAAAGATGTTGAAAGGGGGTCATTTATTTCATAATTATTTATATAAAATAGGGCCCAACTCTTCATTTTATCATTCATTGCTGGATCCTGCTACTTTTTACTGCTGCAACTGGCCAGATTTCACAGGGATAATTGTCTCATCACACCTCTAGCTGACAGAGCCTAATTAAATCTGAGGGGAGTTTGTGTTGCACCTCAACTCCTCAAATGAATACAAGTTCATTTTCAATTCACCATTTGCTAAGTTCCGCCCCTCAAACACAGACTGGCCAATCATAGCATCAGCCAGCTCTGACCCGAGTACCGCAACTCTCTGAACTCTGCTCCAAAGCTTCTCTTCGTGTTCAGGCTGGTTTAGAGCTGGTCATGGTTAAACGTTGTGTAACTGATACTCGTTACCCAGAGAGGTTGGAACGAGATATAAGTTTCTAGGATGTTACATTGCTAACATTAGCTGCATAGGTTTTTATGTAGAAGAGTACGTTAACACATCAGAATCAGCTTTATTGGCCATGTATGTGTACGCATACGAAAAAATATATTAAAAAAATGGCAGTAAAAAAAAAGTAGAACAGATGTAGGTATAAACATTGAACAGCTATGCCACACACACACACACACACACACACACACACACACACACACGTGTATAAAGGTGTTTGCCCCCTTCCTGATTTCTTAATTTTTTGCATGTTTGTCACACCTAAATGTTTCAGATCAAACAAATTTAAATATTAGACAAAGATAACACAAGTAAACACAAAATGCAGTTTTTAAATGAAGGTTTTTATTATTAAGGGGGAAAAAAAATCCAAACCTACATGGCCCTGTGTGAAAAAGTGATTGCCC